AAATGAATTACAGTAGATGGGGTAGAGAGAGAAGATGGAAGGGGAGGGGATGGGGGATAGTAGAGGATAGGAAAGGCAGTAGAATACAACAGACACTAGTATAGCAATATGTAAAACAGTGGATGTGTAACTGATGTGATGCTGCAATCTGTATAGGGGTAAAAATGAGAGTTCATAACCCACTTGAATCAAAGTGTGAAATATGATATGTCAAGAACTATGCAATGTTTTGAACAACCAACAATAAAAATTAAAGGAAAAAAATGGGTTTTTTTGAGAAACACCAAGCACATTTAAAAATAAAGTGTTCCTGGAGTTTTCTTTCTCAACTCTCACTGAAACTACATGGTTTCATTCATGGACACATTTTTTTAGATATGTTACTCTTAGCATTCTACTATTAGAAAGATGGTATGTTTGTATTCAGTAAAATTATGACTGACAAGGTTGGGAGCCCTGCTTGCTCTGAGGTACACAGTGCTCTTGCTTTTCCTATAACTGCTCTTCCCTCTCTGAAGATGCTTTATCTATCTTTCCCCTTCAGATATCAGGTCTTTTGGAATAATGGTAACCTGTAAACTCCTGAGAACTAGCTATTAATGAAACAGCTGCTTTTTGTTGGCAATACTGTAGTATTAAGTTTCTGTTTCATTGAAGGAAAATAGATTGCCAGAGTCATGGGAGGATGCTCCTTGTTTATTCTTAAAGTATCCATTTTACTTGAGGTTACTATTGCTGCCAGCAGGTAGATAAGCAGGATTCAACAGACTCCACCTAGACTGATCTACAGTTCTTTAGCCCATGCTAGCTGCCCTGTATCACCTCCAGGGTCTCAATGCCTCCTGTAGGGCCAACTGTCCAGTACGGGCAAAAAGCTGAGTCCTAAAACTCCTTGACAATGCTAAGACCAAATGGGGATGGCAAAACCCGAATACTACCTTGGCTCCTCTCTGGTAGGCTACTGCTCTGCCTATTTGTACACTGAAGAGGACCACAATCATCTTCCAACAATAGACCCATTGCCTTATAGGAATCCAGATTATGAAACTCAAAAGAGACTATTAGCTGACGTTTGGCAAGGACATTTCTGAGTCCTGGAGACCAGCCTGAAGCTGCTGCTTTAGCTTCACAGCTGGGTAGGGGAAGGATGATGTCATAATCAATCAGATCCTGATATAGCAATTTAAGCATGTTTTTCTAGAGGCCTTGTTCAACAAATTTCTTTTATTTGATTGAAGTGGTTTCAAAAGTAGACCTGGCATTTGTTGAAAGCATTTCCTTAAAGGGGCATTTGAGGTACAAGCCAGGAAGGACCACTGGTACTACTTTGAAGTCTCATGCAATTCAAATACAGGTTTAATCTCCTGCAACTGCAATCAGATTAAAATAGACTGTAAAGTCACAGGTCAAGTAGTGTCAATTCTTAATTTGTGAGGCTGCTGATATTTCCAAATTGCCTTGCAGGGAAATGAAAAGCATTCATTTTGATCTAATGGTGGTAAATCTCTTTCCCTTCAAGAACCATCCGTGGGCTGTATGTGGACTACATCAGCATGGTAGCCAGTGAGGGGTAGATCTGGCATTGGAAACTTCCCTTGGCAGTCCCACCAGGATGGATCTCCCAAATGCAAGTGAACTCCTCCTCAGCTCTGCTAAGAGGTCTCACACAGCACCAGAGATGGGCAGACCTGCTGCAGTCACACAGCCTCTCAAGAGATGGATGTAACCTGCCAAGATGCCAATCAATCTGCTGACTGCCAGACACCATGAAGCAGTACTCCACCCCTGAAACCTTATTCCTGCTTTTAATGAACCCCCTTAAATAAACTACAGGAACCATTTTCTAATTGTCCAGCTCCAACTCAGACAGCTGTGTGGGCTGGGCCTATCAGGTGCTCCAGGCTCCCTTTAAAACTATTTTTTCTGACTCGTGTCTTTTGTTCTTCACTAATTATTTCTGACTCATCTTCTCCTCCAGTAGATTACATCCTCCACAGGCAGGAAGAAAGACCCCTTAGGGAGGCACTGGCTGCCTCCCTATACTTTTCAGATGAGCAGGGCTGGGTCTACCAGACTCCAAATTGGTAAATAAATCTTGGCCCATTTCTTTCCGCACTTAAGGAGAAGAATTAAATAGCATTTTTGTAATTATAAATTTTAAATTCACAAAAACTCCATTTAATCAATTATAATTTACACACACACACACACACACACACACACAAAATCATAAATAAATGACTACCAAAAATAGGAGTAAATAGCAAAACATTTTATTAGTATTTATTAGTATGTTAAATGCTATATATG